GCTCATGCAGTTCTTGCCCATGTGTCCCGTCAACATCCCTGGGCTGAATGTTTCAAGGCGGTCTATTCACGCATGCAGCTGATTGTCCTTTCTTGGTCAGATTCTTATATAGATCACAGTTACAAGGTCCAACATCCAAACAGCCACCAAATGCAGACCTCCAGAACCACCCTAAAATCGAAACATTCGTGTCCATCAACTCCAGATTTCTGGTGCTGCCCTTTCATTAAACAAAGCATGTCTCCCTCTCGAAAGACTTGAGTGGTCATACATTTGAGCTTCAGTTAGATATTATCAATGCTCTTCAGTATATCGCGAACTAGGCAGCCACCGAAGGATGGTGGATTGCCTCATTGGTTTCTTGGTCTTTCTCCTACAACCATCGCCCAGGCAGCATGTTACACACTATGAACCGTAAAGGCATAGCAACCATCTGATGTTTTCTTAATATGCAATTTACATCATATTAATAGTTCTCCCTTACTCTTTTTATGTAGTGTATATTTGTTCTTTTCTTCACTCCCTTCTCTCCTCTTTTCACTTTCACCTTGACTAGTTGTTTGATAGTGGCCCAGTCAGCTGCACTATGGCGGTCATGACCCCACCATTGATGTACCGGAGCTTATGACTAACGGCGGTTTTACCATATCATAAATTGGTGTTAAAGTTCCCGGGAAAATGACAATTAAGAAAAGAATGAAATTGATGCAAAGGGAATATGTTATTTGCCTTTAGACTAACTGGGCTTGTCACTGCATCATCAATAGTCTGTCTATATTGTCAACATGCTGATAAACTAAGCCAATAGGATGTAACTTTGGTCAAAACAGAACCGTACATGATGTAAACATCAAACGCGTTCAATTGATCTGGAAATGGACCATTACATCAGACGGACGGTCAACTGCCCGCACACTGCTGCCGCACTGCACGCGCGACCTGCCCGGGTGAGGGCGGACGGCCACCGCAAGTTCGCGAGGAAATGCGCAACCCAGCGACCTTCCCCCGTAGCAATGGCCCAGCGAGGCGGCCGGATTGAACGGGTGCCGGAGGCTGATTGGATGCTGGCCGGAGAGACGGGAATGGGAGGCCACGCTGAGCAAATGGAGAGGTCAATGGGGACGCCGGGTATGGCGGAGCTTGCGCGAAAGGTTGATCAGAATACGCAGCGCCTGCAGCGCATCGAGGACAAGCTTGACGTAGTGTTGCGACAGTTACAGGAAGGTGTTCTTTTTTGATGCTCGGAAGGGGAAGGGAAGCGCGGAGGATGAAGGCCGAACGTCGCCGGCCACCCAGGCGCAATCCAAGATCGAGTTTGGTGAGATGTTTGCTGCACCCCAAGGGGAGGGGACCCGTGCGCCGGGGTTGGCCGTGGCTGGCACTGCCTTGGCAGCGCGGGTAGGTCTAGAAGGAATGCCTAAAGAGGGAAGCGACGTACAGCCTGGAAGATCGAGTGAAAGACGCAGCGAGACTGAACCAATGGGGTACTCACCTGAGACCGCCTTGTAACACATGGCCGCACGGTTTTGGAGAGTGGCCTCATGTCGCACGAAGAAATGGGTGGGGTCAAAAGGTCCGGGGGCGTCAGGATAGTCAACCATGCAAGGATTGGTCAGGGCGTGTGGGACGTGATAAGCAGGGAACGGTGGTGTCGTTCCACCACTAGATTTGTAGCAGGATCATACGTCGGACTGGGAGCAAACGGGGGCTATTTTGTTCTTGACGAGGAGCAAAACGTTTGGGTCTACGCCTTCGGGCTGCCTGACTCTGTAGATAGATTTGTCAGACTGCCATGCGATGTAGAGTAGCAGACCGGTCTGAACTACCGGAAAGAATATTTGTAAGCTATTTGAAGAGAACGGATGGTGAAGGAGGGAAGCTCTAGGGGATGTGCAGCTGCATGGAATAAGCAGCTGGAAACGTGAGCAGAGTGTTGTGCTCATGATTGGAAGCCGGTGGAAAAGGGGAGTGCGCTGTGAATGGGTGTTAGAGAGCAAGTGTTGTATCTTGATGTGATGAGAATATAAAGTGGTTGCAAGTGCGAAAAGTGAAGGTACTGGGAAAGGGAAATAGCCAGGCTGCTAGAAAACGGGCTGTGCGCTGTGAATCGGAGCTTGCAGAGTGTGAAGTTCACAGTGGGAATGGCGATGAGGCGAGTGCATAGTGCGATGGCCTCATGGCAACTGGCTGGGATATATATAGGTGGGGATTTGACCAGTTTGGACAGCACCAAGGCCAGCGCTGCGAACCGCCTCGAATGAACGACCGCCAGAGCTGTGAGGGAACGCTGGGGAACTGCAGCCAAGGCGCAATCGATCTTTGGTGTCGGTCGGCGCTGCTGGGTGGCGTTTCGATTGGGGAATCGCTGGCTAAAGTGGCGGATTGAGAGTGGTGTCTACCATAGCGAACGGTGAAATTGGGAATAGCATTTGTGTGGGGGCTGAACGGATGGACCATTGTGTGAAGTGTTGCTGCTGTGTGTTTACAAGCTGTGTAAGACCTTTTTGACTGGAAAGGACGGTTGTGAAGTGTCTCCCAAGGAATCACCCGTACTGAAGTGAGGTGATTGTCCAGCACATTTTGTTGTGCTGAGAATCCGATTGAGTTGAGTTGAGCAAGATTTGGACAAAGTGAACAGCATTGAATGTCCTTCGACTTGACACTCAAGCTATCACTGGAAGTGTCTTGTGTCTAGAAAGTTCAAAGGGACCAAGAAGCGGCCACTACCGGAAGCAAATTCTGTCGTCCATCAACAACCGACCGAAACAGCGGTAGGCAAAGGAAAGGGAGGCGCATGGAGACAGAATAACCAAGAATAACAGCTGGCATTCCCTTCCTGAAAAGAGTCGCGGTCGAGCGAGCGTGGGTGGAGCAGAAGGAGCTTCCTCCCCACCTGCTCACTGCTCCAGAAATTCGACAGCTGCCTCTTGAACTACAGTCATTCATCGCGGCTCATTGGGCTGATTGTCAGAAGTCTTTCAAGGAAGCTGGTGATTTCATTCGCCAAGAGCTGGGAGAGACACTTCATCCAAATCGAATTATGTGTCCTGCGGTTTCTAGAGTAGTTGAGGGAGAGGGAGAGTCTAAACATTCCCTCTCCAATGTGTCTGAAGAAGGGTGTAACACGGGGAAAGAGATCTCATCGGATTGTGAAGTGCAGGGAAGTTGCACAGAAGGAGTGTCGATTGGATAGTGTATGTCTGGGGGTTGTCTGCTGTAATTGGATGATTTAGTAGTGTGGACAAGTGGACCTGTTGTGAGAGTGGTGTTCGTGGTCATTCCTTGGATGGCTGAAGAAGAAGGTCGTGTCGTGGTGCTGATATTGTGAGGGACGAGTGTGTAATCAAGTTGGTTTCATAAGGATTGTGATCCATCGGCCAGAACATGGCGATCACAATGGTTGTCCTTCAACACTGGTGCTTGGTTGTATCCATTTAACTAACTGCAAGGTTGTTGTGAGTCATTCTCCAAAAAGCCCCCTTGTGGGCAGGCCCCTCTTGCTCTGGCAAGAGCATTCAATGAAGCTCAGGGCTGCCAATTTGCCCATTAGAACCAACAGACTAGCCCCGATGCCTTCGACTGCACCAGCAGGTGTCGGCATCTAGCCCCCCAGCCTGCTGCAAATCAGCCAACACTTCACCCTTTCCATCGTGTTATTGCTCCTTTTGGGTAAAGAACAGAATGCTCCCTACAACCACGGCCCAAATCATAGCATGACGTGGCCACTACAAGCTCTTCTGCAATCTGTCAAGCTCTAATTCTCGATCTGATCAACTATTTTTCCGTCCACCAAGAGAACGTCTTCTGAATACATGTAGACACCCAGGTTCAACCTTCTCTGTTCACCTTGCCTGCTTTGGGACAGTCACGAGCAGCCTGAAAGACAGTCCTTTGGGGGCGTGTGTGAAAGCACATGATATGCAACTTGGGCTCCCCCGGATTGGAGCCCACCAAGAAAGGATCTCATTTCCACGAGCTAGTCAATCAATGCGATGCAGCCCATTTGCAGCTGTCTCAAATGCCCTGGCTGTCAGGATTGCAGCTCCGCTGTTACCCACCTGCGGTGGGCAACATAGATCGTCGCAACAAAAGCTTGAATGCTGCAGCTCTGCGTGCACCTGCATTCTTGCATCTGGTTTTTAAGAACTCGGCAAACACATTGGGGGGTTATTGACACACGGCTATTGTTGAATGGGCCAACATCATGACAATTTCTTCACCTGTCGATACATTCTTGGTGAATCATGAACAGCAACAACACAGGGCAAAGCACGAGGGAGGTATCGACTCCGTGGTGGGCATTGCCACTTGGAAAAGGACATCACTGGCTGGACATGCACGGGCTGGTGATATGACGTTTCGGTTGTCAATACGCTCACAAAGGAAAACAGCAACACACGTGCAAACGCTGCTCCCGCTGTTAAGGCGCACTGCATTGACCAAACAGCCTTGCCGTTCCAAAGGGCCTGAATACCTCCAAGCACATGGTTCGCAAGAACTTGACCCAAACATAGAATATTACATATCTCTGCTATCCCAAGTACAAGTACATTGGCTTACATCTCGCCCTTGTGTACATCACAGTGTCTGCAGTTCTGTGCCCTCCATACTCGCGAGGTAGCCCCCTGAAATCAGTTTCTCAAATATTTGATTAATCTCTCTAACATGCAAAGCTGCACTCTTTCGCTCCTCTCCCAAGCCACTCCCATCGCTCGGAAATAAAGAATAGAGCTTGGCGTCGTTCCCAAAGTCACACACTGTAGGGAAACTCCCAATGTCGAACAGCATTCCTAGACAGAAAGGTCCATCCGTTTGCCACAGGCCAATGAATCATGCCTTCACATGTTTCCCAACACGAAAGAAAAAGGAAACGAAAAATAAGCCCTGCGAAGTGGACCAATTATCCAAGCCGCCGATTGCATATGCCTTCAAGGGCAAAAAGAACAAATGGAAAGCAAAATAACCAAGGAAGAAAACCAGCCCCCAATGGCACAACCCGGTCAAGGAAGCGCCTCGCCCAGCTTCGCCTCCCCGCCCTGCGCCTCCTGCCCACGCATGAAGCAATGCATCGATGCCATCCCCGCCGTCATGATGCCCGTCAGCCCCCACAGCAGCGGCGTCCAGGCCTCTGGCTCTCCCCCGCCCGCCACCCCACCCACGTACAAGTCGAACAGGATCGCGAAAGAGAAGGTGATGGTCTCGCTGCAGCCCTCCAGGGCTGAGGCACTTCTGGGCGGGTGGCGCACATTGAACTCTGGGATCGGGACATAGAACGCCGGCCCAATGCTGGCCCCAAGGAACAGCAGCAAAAGTGCCGTGAGGGCCGGCCCGCGGGCCCCAGCTGCCAGGCAGGCCAGGCATAGGACCGCCATGCCACAGAGGGCAGTTATAAAGGAGGTGCGCTGGCGGGGGGTGAGGGCACAGTACAGGAAGCCGGCGGTGAGGACGGAGGCGCCGGCGCCCGCCGAGAACCAGGTGGCCAAGCGGGTGGCCAGTCCAGGGCTGAGGCCCGTGCTTTGGCCGAACAGGGCGATGAACACCTGGGAGAACACGTGGAAATCAGATTTTCCGGTGATAGAGCTTGATGAGAACAGAACTTAAGGCATGGTAATACGCCTGAGAACATAACTCAAACCCGAAAAAATATGCTTCCTCCGTCCGCAACGAATTGTCCTCTATTACTTTGGCGCCCCACTTCTCCACCATGGAAGCTTTAGCTTTCAGTGAAACGTCTTCCAAAGCTGTGCTTACGAGTTTTGGGTATAAGATCAAAAAGTCAAGTCAATCCGTTAAGTGTCAGGGATTTGACAGTACTTGTAGAAGATTCTTTTACCTAGCAAACCTAGTAACAATTTTCGGTGAGAACGACCAAATTTTACCTTTCTCCTAGCAAACCTCGATTTTCTCAGTAAACAATGACCCAAATTTACCTTTCGTACAAGGCCGGATATCCGCGCACGCTGTGCAAGCGCGGTCCTCTAATTAACCCGACGGCGCGGTACTGTGCGGTCGGCCGGACTACCTATATGTTCCTTGATGGTTGTGACACAATACATGCAATTGCATATTTGCTAGGGCCAAATAGAAATGGTCCTTGAGACCTTGGTAGGTAGTTGAATGCAAGCTAGTTTCAACATGTGTTGAACATGTTTAATCGTTGTGACCTTCAGTTACTTGGATTTGACCTTTTAGGATCAAGTTAAGCACACCAAATAGCGTGCGAAATAGTGCTCCAGCCAACGCATGAACTCATGCACCAATTATTGTACGATTGAATGCAACTTTTGTTGTACCACTCTCTATATCCATTGATACAACAATAGATACAATAGCTGCAGTATGAAAACGAAGGCAAGTTTTGAGTGATGGAATATAATTTTCTGGGCTGGTGTTTTAGTTATATGTATTGAGGGGATGTCATGCACTACATCGAGTTGGTGCCTTGGCCATTGCACGGTTAGTCTTCACAGCGTTGGGTTTTGTGCCTTGCAAGCAGTAATTTTGCAGCGCCCGTTCAAGATCAAATAGTGTTGAGAATCTATGGGTTGATTAAAAAAATAAGCAGTAGCGAATGGGCGTCTTTGTAGGTGACGAACTCTTATCCTTTTTGGCGTCCACAGAAGGGTGCCTAGTGAAGGTGCAAGTGGATAATAGATCCTGTTAGTAGCGTCCATTATTCTTGAAAGATTTTATTTTCGTTCGTTTGTTTTTGTTTGTTTTTGGACGAGGATTTCCGTTGCAGGTTAGCATTCATTCTGTTTTCCGTTCCAGGCGTTTTTTTTTCCTTGAACGTTTTTTCATCCTTTCTGGGACACGAGCGAGCAGCCAGGAACGTGTGCATTGGAGCGTGCCCGCAACGGGCTGTCCGCGCTGGGAGGGGCGAGGGCGAAGCCCAAGGCGGGGGGCTGCCCAGGCGCTGGCTGCCGCGCCTTGGGTGTCCTGCGATTGACCGCCGATTGACCGCCAATTGACGGGCGCCATAGTTGGCGATCGCAGCAGCGAGGCGCGTCGTGGGATCCCTGGTGTGTTGGCCGAGTTTGGCGCCTCGATTGCTGCTGGGTTGCCGCTGAATCGGTGGCAACGGCTAGACAGGCGTTGTGGGCGATTGAGCAGCATAAGGGCAGCCAAGTTTGGACACCATGGCTGAACCAGTGGTATGGGGGGATAGTGCGATTGCCCGCCACTTTGTGGCCCCCCGGATTGACACCTCGCGGGCGGCGAATCACGCCGCCCGTGGGGGACTCGAATGCCCCCCGCGCTGGTGGAGTGGTTGGCCGCCCATGAGCTCTGAAAAAGTTACACGGATCGGCGTCTCGCGGGTGCCGATTTGCATCGGCCGCGGTGGGCTACCGCCGGTGGCCTAGAATGGCGTCAAACAAGCAACGCGAATGGGCGCCCGGGAGGCGCCAAACCCACCCTCGGATTGATGCCTGGCGGGTGGCTAAATGCGCCGCCCGTAGGGGACTCGAACGCTCCCCTGGTGGTGGCCCAGCTGGCCGCCTGTGAGCCACGGGAGGGGTACACAGATCGGTGCATCGCGGCCGCCAAATCGCGCTGGCCGCGGTGGCTTGGAATGGCGCCAATAGGCGACGCAAATGGGCGCCCGCGAAGCGCCAAAGGAGCAGCCCGTTTGGCGCCTCGAGGGCGCCCGTTTGCGCCTCCCGCGTTCGGCTCGAATGGCCCCCCCGCCGGTTGCACAAAAGAGCGCCCGCGAGGTGCAACAGGCATGGGAATTTAGGCGCCTCGCGGGGGCCCATTCGCGCCAGTCACGATCGCCTAGAACGGGCTCCGCCGATGGCGCGAGTGGGCGGCTGCTAGGCGCGAAATGCAACACAGGACCGGCGCCTTATCGGCGCGCAATCACGCCGGGCGCCCACCCTTGAAACAGGCCCAGCGTTTGCGCGAGTAGGCGCCCACAAGGCAGGATTGTCCGGAGGGTTTCGCACCTTATGGGTGGCTATTCGTGCCACCCCCAATCGCCTAGACTGGGCCTCCCTGATGGCGTGAGTAGCCGCCCACAAGGCGCGAGAAGCGCCGCACGATAGGCGCCCCACCGGCGCCCAAACACCCCGCCCACCCTGCCTTGAAACGGCCCATGCTTATGGGGCACTTGAGCGCTCGCCAGTCGCAAGAAGCGCGGAGGGATTGGCGCCTCGCAGGCGCCCATTCCCACTGCCCGCGCTGGCCTGCAACGGCCTCCACTGGTGGGGGGAATGGGTGCCCGCGAGAAGGGGAGGCGCGCCTTGATTCACTGCTTGCGGGCCTCCATTCCCGCTGCCTGCAGTGGCCTAGGCGGCTGGCGGGAATAGGCACCCACGAGCCGCAAGAGGCGTCGAGTGATCCGCGGGAAAGGCCGCCCAAGAGGCACGAGCTGCGCGGCCTGATTGGCACCTTGCGGGGGCCAATTCCTCCTGCGCGTACTGCTTTGCAATAGGCCCCTCAGCGTGGCTTGAATGGGCAGCTATGGAGCTGCGCACCATCCAAGACTTGCGCCTAGTGGGCGTCCATTCCCGCCGTGGGTGCCTTTTTGGAACGCCCCCCCGAGTGGCATGAATGGGTGCCGGCGACCCGCGAGGGGGGCCAAGCCGTCTGCGCTTCTAGGGCGCCCATTCGTGCCACCCACCATGGGCTGGAACGGCCTCCGTGGGTGGCGGGAATCGCCGCCCGCGAGGCGGGAGATCCGCACTCTGATTCGCCCGCCCTGGTCGCCCAATCCCGCTGCCCGCCACCGCGCTGGCCACTCCCTGCTCCGCTCTATGCCGTGCTGTTGAAGCCCGGTCGGTCCTTGTTCTTTTGGCTCTCGGGCGTGCCTGGTCCCTTGGGTCAGTCGAAGCACCCTTTGTCAACGGTTGACGCAAACCTCGTTGCAAGTCGCCTTGTTCGCGACCGCAAGTCGTCTGGCTCCCGCCCCTGTGCGCGCTTTGCTGCGGGCGCCGGCAAACCTCGCTCGGCGGCCAGGGCGAGAGACGCCAATCGCCACGACTCAAAGTTTCCTTTTCCTCCCATGTGGCCATGGCGAGCATGGCTATGCGCGGGGCGGCGGGACGATGATGCACTTTGAAAAATCCGTGGCAGGGCGATTGTTGACGCGCACAAGGGTTGCCGCAGTGCTTTGTGGCAGTACTGCATGTACGCATGTCCGACTTGCCGGGCAAATATTTTAAATACCGTCGGGTTAACAAAGCTCAAATGGGTTGAGTCGCACTTTTTCTTCTTGAGAATTGGTAGCTAATAGCCTTAGGACCCAAACCTTCCGATTTTGAACTCCTTTTGTGATCTGAGACCGCCCTTGTGATGAAATTTGCCTCTAAAATAGCAATTATTTCCAGACGGAAGAAGCAGTTAATTGTGCTCATCCGTTTGTGAAGGATTGCTAATGAACTGGAGCAAATAGCATGGGAACATGCATGAACCCAAGCATGCTCATCAGTTCATGGATGCCTTGGCATATTGCAAACAGGCATATCCTGATGTGGCAATTCCTGACCAACAGTTCTGGGAAATTAGGAAATGGTTGTGCACACTGATGTTTTTCTGGCCGGCTACATTTTGCTATGGAAAACTGAAGCCTTCATCAAACGATTTACTGGCAAACACTTGGGCGACATTAGGAGCTGATGGCCACCAACTTGCCTTGATATGTGCTGTTTCTTGAGTGAGTAACTAGCCTTGCAAAAGCAGTGAGAATTTGAACAAACCAAAAACATACAAATAGAAAGGAAAAGGAACTGCATACCTGGAACTCGATCACTAACTGGAGGAAGCAGCGCGTCAGCAGCATCAACCTGACCGATGGCCTTCGTAGCATTGTCCAAAAGGCGCCCCATCCTTGTTTCAGGGCGCCATCCGAGGCACCACCTTCCCTGCTCTGAGTGACACTGACAATTCCGTTGTGTTGCCCTGTCTTCAGTGCTGTCTTGATCCGTCGACTACAAATGCCCAAAAAAGACACATCGTTGCCCCTGGGCCTGCTTCTATGTCTTTGCATCTCGTGGCTAAGGGGCTCATCCGGGACGAAGTAGACAAGAAAGGCGGCAGCAATGGATCCAAGCAGCGCAGCAGATTGAAAGAGTGTATGCCATTGGAAGCCATGCAGCAAGAGCCAGCTGAAACCAAACATGCCAGCTGTGCTTCCAAGCTGCAGCAAAGCCAGAGACATACAATCTGACTACAAGTATATGGCAACAAAAAGCACTTGGCTGGCACTGACATTGAATCGCCAAAATTCATGCACATGACATCCCATTAGACACTGCACCGCACTTTGTGCAAAGACAGCTCATTCAATTCAAAATGCAGTGCAATCCGGACACACACGCACCCGCGAGGCAAAAGCCAAACTGCCCATAGAAGCTCCCTGCATCTCAGCAGGTGTGAGGCGGCGCATCAACTGCTTTGCAGTGACCCATGCAGAGGCCTGTCGTCAAGGAACAGCTTATTTCAGGGCCAAATATTCCCAATGCTGTTCCTGCTAATTATGTTGCTACTTCTTCAGAATCTTCAGCATCATGTTCCCTATTCAACTCTGTTAATGGCATTTCCGTGTGCATTTGTGTCAGTTTGCACAGCAGTCCATCGGCACCACCAACTGTTTCAGGTGTGTATTGCATTTGCAAACAACATCAGTGCCAGGCCACATAATGACCAACTGAAGGAGCACAGGCACTAACTAGGTACTTCATAGCAAAATCACCGCTTGAAGTCTGCACAGGCTGGGTAGCTCAATGCTGTGACTTGGGAGAGATGTCCTTTGGTTTTAATTAAAACAATGTATGGTTCACAGCCTGGAACACTTGTTCAAGCTCCATGTGTAGCTGTGGTGCCTCCGCAGACACTGCGGCAGCAGAGATCAAAGGTGACACCACATTGTGTGCACACAAGAATGCTTTCAAAGAACAGAATCCCAAGCAACAAACTACAAATCAGAGATCGAACCAGCATTGATGCCGCAAGAGGTGTGGCTCACATTCACAAATCGAGTGAGCCCAAAGCAGAAGCAAAACCAAGGAACTGAAGTGCCGCATACGAAGAGGGCGTTGGACAGGGAGGTGGTCACAAGAATGAAGATGAGGGCAGGCTTGGGTGAGAGCGTGTCCACCACATGTGATGCAACTGCCTTTCCTGCCTGGACACGAGGCCAAAGACCCTTGACATCAGCAGTGCTCCCCACCAACACACCAATCTTTGCTGCCTTGAAACCCTCAGCACAGTGAATTGAAGTGTGGAGCTCAATGCACCAGTTTTCTGTTGCTCCAGTGGGAGCCTGTGTATCTCACTTTGCATATGTAGCTTCTGCAGTACACATATTGGATGCTCTGCAATACCAAAACAACAAGAGTGCATGATGTGCTTTGCATTCCATACTGCCAGAATAATAGTATCCATCCACATTTGTGGGGACACACAGTGGTCAAGCCAAGCATGGCCACTGCACAATGATACCATGTCAGCACTCAAATGTCCAGGTATGCAACGACCTCACAGAAATGGTCGAATGGGCACCCAACACCCCTCACCAACGAGGGACATCCACTCCCATCTTGAAGATCAATATCAGCTTCCTCAGCATTGAGGGACTGGAAGGTGGTGTTTAGAATCTGTATCCTTACACTGGTATGCCAATGAGCCACTTTCAAAGTACTATCAATGGCACTCAGTAGGATGGTGGATCGACAACAGGGTGACATAAAAATGGGGATGAAAAGAGGTACAGTTCTGGAGAAACAGGGTGCCTGCTCACCTGTAGTGCGAACAGATATATAGCACTTCACCACCTTGACAGTACATCATGTACTGTTCAACATGATTAAATGGGAATTCGAGGTGTACAACCCGGGGGAGTCCACAGACAGCTGAAGACTTCTCTATCCTCCTTTTAGTTTCTGTACTGATGGTTCACTTCAAAACAGAAACAATCGAAATGGCATTCTGCTGGTGCAAAGTTGGGCTCATAGCTTACCACTGCCATGGCTTGTGCAACAGCCAGCACAATTGGCACATCGGCAATGGAGAATGCCAACCCTTTATCTGCCACCATGGCAGGTGCAGCACCAGCTACAGTGATCCATTGCACCACACATGCCTGCAGCAGCCACCAAACAACAATTCATTGTTCAGAATGATTGATCGCGGCCAACTCAATGGCACCCCATCACCTGCAGAGGAATAATGGATTTCGTGGTGCTGCAATGTTGCATTGGCAACTGTAGGTATGAGTGCCTGGAGATACAACTGGGCAACGGTATTCATAGATACTCTTGGTTTCCGATCTATGACACTGCAAGGCCTCACAAGCATTGTCTGGAGCAGCAGGAGCCTAGAGGGAAGCCTGCGAAACCAGATGAGAGGAGTCAGGCAGCTCCTTGAGGCCCGATCTTATTAGCACTGCACCAATGCATGCAAGCCCACACAGCCCTCGCCCAGTGGGCACAATCCAGACTAAAGTTGCAAGTGGGAAAGGCATGTGGAGCACAACCATACAACAGAAACTGAAGGGACACTGTGGCACTAGTGGCATGCTGCCCAGCTGCAGTGGACTAGTCAAGACGTTTTCCAGGCGGAAAGCGCTTCCTCTCTTCGCTGGTGCAGACGCCGATCGTACGACTTGTTTTTCCACTTTCTCACAGACGGGGCCCTGTGGTTGGTACCAGGTAAGCAAGGCAGGCGCAGACCCGCGCCAGCTGCATCCTCCCGCCCGCGTGCTTGACGTGGATCGCCCTTCCAAACCCAGACGCCGTCTCCACCTGTCCACGGCGACAAATTCCAACACCACGCTGTCAGCCAGGCAGCGGGGGCAACTTCTCCAGGCAAGGGTTCTTGTGGCCGTGGCGTTCAGGTTGAACATTTACGAGACAATACAGATTGTGACGCATGGCACGCACACTGAGACCCGTGGTAGCGCCGCTGTGTTTCACTACAGGATTCCTGACAATGCATCCAGTCGTGCAATCCAGCTAGCGCTTTCACAGCGGATCCAACAACGCACCTGGGTGGGCGCCGTCAGGCCGTTCACCGGCGCCGCTATTCCGTCGGCCCCTCGCACGTCAACCTGAAAGCAGCGGTCCAACCACTGCGCCTGAGCGCCACGCCACCACAAACACCTCCAATTGCCACGAGCGAAAATTGACATCCCAACGGCGCGACAACTGCGTCCACGGGCTCAATGCAGACCGGCAAGCCGCAAACTTGCGGCGATAAAAACAGGCGGGCAACCTTTCCAAGCCGGCGGCTTCCGCCTCGATCGGACCGCCCCGACGTACTCCCGCGCGGCTTCAGGGCCGTCGGCATCTTTCCGGCCGCCTCGCCGCATCCCGGTGACGACGCGGTCCATGAATCCACGTGGCATCTGGCGCAGATCCCCCGTCGCCATGAGCCCGCAAGGCAGACCGCCCCAAATCGAGCGGCCCGCGGAGGGGCGCGGGACACTGTCCCGCCGGGCGCAAAGCCCATCCCCCGACCATAAGCGTGGACGCGTGGTCCCACATTCATCGCTTCGGATTCAATGCAACGGGATCTGTGTGGATCTCGTCGGCCGGAGGAGGTTTCGTTCGGCGTCAGCCATGCCGGCGACAGTGGGGTGGCGGTCCGGCCGACGGTGGTGGCGACGGAGGCCGGGCGCCGCCCATGGACGGAGGGAGTGGAGGGCCCCGCAAGGAGCAAGCGACTGGCGCCCCCAGCCACTTGTTCGAGCAGCGGAACGCGATTCCTGGCCTCTTCAATTTACTCGCCCATTTGTCGACAAGGCATTGATGTGACATACTCATGATACATGGACTGAGTAGATGGCCTGCCCGTAAAAGGACATCGCTGTTTGGGATCTGTGTGCAACTCCGTTGCCTCCACCTCGTTCCCAGGCCGCCTCCACCATGACAGCTTTCCCAGAGGCGAACCAGCCAGCGACCAGTCAGCATCATGTTGGCCCAGTGTTTTTGCCAGAAATTAGTCACGTGGTGGGTGAGAAACGCGCTATCCTTATCCTGATCGCCTCTAAAGGGTACGACAGCAGGACTGCCTTGCGCCCAGGACAAACGTCGAACGGCTTCGCAATTAGTGGTTGCCTCGAGGAAAGTTAGGTGACGGCCACACATCGTCCACAGGGCTTTGGCACTTGCAGTCTGGCGCCTTGGGAATGGGCGCTCCCCAAACTCCAAGTTCAAAGTAGGCACACAAGCAGTGCCAGACTGTTATGCCCCTGTGGAATGCAAGGGCAGTTGTCCGTGGAGTACGCCCTTGTCTGCACGATGGAAATAGGAAACTGCAACAGGAATAAAAGAAGAAGAGCTCTGTGCCCAGGGCACAGGCCAATGGACATGGCCATAAGCCAAGACACACAGCAGTCCATACAGTGTCAGACGAAAATTCCCAGTATACGTCCACCCCCTCTCCCCCACCCCCCTTTCTGTCCCTCTTGTTTTATTGCCATGCACTTTGAGTTCCCCCACGGGTGCCAACAGAGCTACCCACTGACCAACTATTTATGATGGATACGATGGAGCCCCAGGAACGCACATGCATGGACTCTATTGTTGCTCCAACAGAACTAATCAAATATACGTGCTGTCTATCAGAGAACAACGTTGGCAGCCGACTGGTGGCATTCCAGGACTGCCACAAAATCCAAACAGCAGCAGGCCAGTTCAGGTGACGAGTTGGGATCACAAGTGTCCAGTGGCGGAGGCACAGCAGGGCAGACAGCCACAGTATTCTGCTGGCAATCCTCTGGTACAATCCAGAGGAACTCTGAAATTATCCGATCTATGGAAACTGGTACCAGCAGCACCCTACTGCAGCTTTCTTTCAGCCATGGCACCAACCACGCCCTGTTTTCAGCTGTGTGGAACCACAAGTCTGAACACTTAAAACCGGACATGCATAGACCACAAATTCGCACTGCCCCTCATCTTTTCTCTCAGTATGCCTGGCCACCAGCTGAGAGCCCGATCGTTCTCCCACGATCCCCCTTGGACAGTATTGGCCCCAGATAAGGGGAAGCAAATTTCCACGTTAAGGGCACAAAGACGATTTGTAGATTTACAACCCCTAGACAGATACATGGTTCGTTGGTGCACATACCACCAAGGACAACTCCCACTGCACATCCTATTCAGCGGCATCGGCAAGGATCCACTTGCCAGGTTTCTGGGCATGTAGGTTCCAGGTGTGAAATGTCGTGGCGATGCACACCAGGGTCACATCCGTCAGAAATTAGAGTGGTGCAGCTTGATGCTAGATTTCAAGCTGCCTCGATCCTTAAAGCACTGCGATGGGCCGTCGATGACCCAAACCGCCTCACTCCTTGTGCTCTTGGGCCTTCTTTGGTGGAGTCCAGACGAGTAGGACGACCCAGGTGAGGAAAGCGATGATATGCACGCCTACAAGGGCGTACACCAGGCTCCCATAACCCATGAACACATCCCTGTTTGGCTCAACCCCATGCGCCATCTGACGCTCCTGACGCTCCTAAGCAAGCCACAAGCAGTTTCACTCAGGAAATAACAAGAATCGCATACTGCCAGAACTGGACATCTGTTATGCTGCAGATCACAGCTTGCCAGTGGTTCGGGACAAATTCATGCACTCGCAGGCCAGACGGGTGGAGCATCGCCCAGCGGCTGTTTAATCGTTATACCAAGGACATGTTACACCGCACGCCGCCCTTTGCCACAACAAGCAAACAATGACAGGACAATCGCCAAGGATCCCCTAAACCGGATCACGCAGTGGACTTCGGATCTCGGATTGTCGCACAATCGGTGCAGAGGACAACCGGCCTCACGCCAACGCTCAACAAGCGTCCTGCGATCTTTGCCCAGGTACAAAAAATACGGCCCAAGATCGCGCAACGCGGTTCTCATCTCTGAGTGCTGCACCAATGGCACCCTCAGAGTGTAGTGGACACCCCAGGATGGCGTCCATGTTCAAGGTGCCCGTCCCCATGCTAACAACCAATACCGCGACAAACGTCCATCAAGGCCAAAAAACGACCAACCCAATGCAGTTGTTCGTCTGGCAGGCGTCCGAAAGGAGATGATGGAAGCGAACTGGCGCACAAGGCACCCAAGACACGATTGCGCCCCGTCCTTGCTTGGCTCACCCGTGGCCAGGGCGCAGCTCCAGCAGCGCCTGAGGGCCAGTCGCAAGCCGGCGATTTCGCGCGACAGCACCACGTGAGGAGGGGCGCCCGCGGAAGCCACGGCCGGCTGCCTTGGTCAATCCCCAGGACACCGGCAGAGACGTAAAGGTGTTCGAGTCCGGACGCCGGTATTAATGGCTGAGTCAGCTGGCAGAGATGAATAAAACGTCCTATGACTAAATACTATTGTTTGTACTGTTTTCCCTACTAATGCAGTGGAATTGCTGTTAGACAGGTTCCCAACACAACTCACTTAAGCTGCATTTCACAGCCGCTAATAATAAAAAGCTTCAAGTGCTAATGATCATCAAACTACTATGAACTCATGCAGTCATTCGCAGAGACACATGGATGATCAAAACATGCAATTGTTCATCTTCTACCATATTCTTGATCAGTTCTCCCACCAGCGGTTCACTCACAACAGAAATGACACGCAAAAACAAAGCATTGGTCAAGATTTGCAAAGTCACAAAAAACATGGCTACAGATCTCAGCCAGATCTGCTCACCATCCCAGCCACAAACAAGAAGAAACAAACAACACCTCCAAGGTGGTGTACACAACTGCGAACACCCAGGCAGCTCGCAAGCACACACTCACAAACAATAGTTCATTTCTTATGCAAGGGGGGCCGTCACTCACGCACCCCAACGTCCCGCGGAACGTGTAGCACCACCTACCGGTGTGCTTTCCCACTCCTGCTCGTGGCACAATGCTCCTCGCGTCCCACACACTCTCATGACAGGTTGGGCCAATCACTGGCCAGCATTCAGTCACAATTTTCAGTTCTTACACTTTGTTCCGTCCACTTGGTTGTGTCCGTTCAAGCACAATTTACAGCACCACCCCACGGCAGCAGAAAAAGGGCGGCGCCGCCACCACCATGACCCCCCACTTACAGCTTTGATTGTCCCAATCTTTCTATTAC